CAGCCCAAATGATCGGCTGGCATTGTTTAGAGACGTCAGGGTATCTATACCGAGCCTGCGATCATGTTTTGTTCTGTTTTTTTTTATCGTTAAAATTCGGTTAAAAAATATTTTTATAAATAATAATTTAGTTCCTAAACTTTAATTTATAATGATTTAGTCTCTCTAACAATTTAATTTCTATTGTAACAAATTTTATTAAAATTAAGTGTCAAATTTTATCATATAACAATTTAATCTTTGTAATTATAAATATATTTGGTATCACTTTAGTTTGTCAATCTATATATCTAATAGTCAAAGCGAGGATAGCTCAACGGTAATTGATAGAAGAGATTGTGAGTTCGAATCCCCTCTCCAACATGTTGTACTAAAAAAAATCTATATATCTAATAAAATTTAAAAAAAAAATCACGATAAGGAATAAATTGTTACATTAGCCAAAGTATAAGGATCAAAAATGTTTTTTAACCTTAAAATTTAAATTATAAATGTGCATGATAGATTTTTAAGTTCTTTTTGATAGATATTTGAAGTCCATTTCATAACTTACTATTCCTTATTTCTAATTTTATTAAAAAATCTAAAAATTTTACGATTATGATAGGATTTTTTTAATAGTAAGTCCATTTCATAACTTACTATTTCTTATTTCTAATAAAACGTATTCTAAAGCGAGTCTATTCTTTAAATTATTTTTCAAATAGAAAATAATAAATGACATCTACTAAAATCTAATTAAAAAGATAGAATATACTTTAAACGACAAATGACAGATTTAACTCAAATCGTTTATACAATGCAGACAAAATTAGTGATCTAGGTGTCCTTTTTTTATTGGACCAAGAATAGACGTTGAAATGGTGGTTGTCTGGAATGATTGATATAATGAAAAAATCCCAATCATATAGGGAGTGGGCCCTCCATTTTGGGCCTGAAAAGCCCACCATACGAAAGCTAAACCTAAACCTAATGTGCGTCTGTAGTTGTCTGAAGTTCTGAATTTTGGATGGCCTTCAAAAATCAAAATATCAGATTTTCTATAATTATTATTTATTTTCCCTTTTTGGGGTGGTTTTTAACTTTTTATACGGATGGACCAGAAAATAATAATAATAATAAATTTAAATATTATTTTAGTTCGTTTTAGTACATGATTTATTCATCTTAGTTTCTATATTTTCAAAACGACTATTTTGATCATTGTAATTTTAAAAAGTGACAATTATGATCCCTATAATTTCAAAACGTTTATTTTGATCTCTTTAATTTTAAAAAGTGACAATTTAAGTTTACATTTGTAAAATTTAAACACAAATTTTAATATAATGTCTAAATCAATAAATGTATGGAATAAATTGTCGTTAACATGAGCATAGTTTAATGGTCAAAACATCTTGCTACTCCTCTAAAAGATGGAGATTATCTTCCTGACCCATATTTTTGATATTATAAAAAATAATGAGTGAAGTATCGTGCTAAATTTGTGACAGAAAGAAATGAGATAAAAATGAAATTCAATAGACTAAAATTGTCACTTTTAAAAGTACAAAAACCAAAACATCGAGATTAAAATTAACAAAATTTAAAGTATAAAATCAAAATAAAAAAGAATAGTTGCTGAAGTATGAAACCAAAATAAACAAAAATCAAAAGTGTTGACCAAAATAATTTAAACCTAATAATAACTTAATTTATGCGTTGTTAGTTTGTCATTTGCTGGAGTGATTTGGGCCGTGATGGGCCCAATATGCCATTTCAGTGCAAATCTCCCCAATAAGTGGAGATTAGGATTAGGATAACTCTCTTTTTGTGATTTCTTTAGACACATCATGTTGTAATTATTTATTTAAAATAAAAAAATTGAAAGTTGGATATGTGGTTGACTTGGAACGAGAAAAGGCCATTGTTTGTGATGCAGGAAATAGTAAGGAATTTTCTAAAAGATAATTAATGAGATTCCATCCTATCATTCACACTTTTGGGCATTATTCTAACTAATTTGTAACGTAGAAGAGTCAATTAATTTAATAATTATTTTTTTTCTTATACATATTTATCTTTTTTTAGGTACAATATGAGATAATAGAAATTCAGAATCACGATCTTTTGATTGAAATAAATGTTTTAATCAATTGAGTCGAGATCAGTTCAAGTTGATAAGTTTTAATATAACTACTCTTCATTCAAGTTAATATCATTAGTATGTCTATTGTGTTTTTTTCTAATAAGAAAAAAATTGATAAATGTATTTTTTTTTGTAACTAATATAATAAAGGTATTTTTAATGAATTATTAAATAATGTTTTGATAGTAATTTAATCTTATGAAATATCGTAAAAAATATCGTAATTTTAATATGCATTTAAAAAAATATCGTAATTTTTTAAAATATCTAATTTTATGTACTCTTATTTTATTTATTTTATCTTTTCAGCAACTATTTATCTTCCACTTGTTTTTATAATGTTGATTAAATAATTAACTTCTTGATTTTTAAATAATAATAATAATAAAAAGATTGTTGTGTGCAAATAACATATTTTAATACATGATAATAACAAATTAAGAAATAAGTAGTTAAAACCATACAAAGGACCTAAAATTATTAAAATTATATTTTAATCAGACTTTTATAATTAACCTCTCAATAACTAAATTATCATCAGTTTCCTTTGCAATATATATCAGTCAAATTTAGTCAATTTTATCCAAAACTAACTTCAAACAAACCTATAATTTAAGATTTAAAAAAATCTTAAGATTCAACTCTTTAACTAAAAGTAAGTTAGGTAAAAAACCAATTAAACCAATCAAAACTAAATCGATTGGTTAATTTTTTTAATCCAATGGTTAAATCAGTTGAGTCAAAATTTTCGCCTTAGAATTTATACTCGTGTTACATCACATGTCGGCCGAACTACCCCAATCTCGTTTAATTAATTATTAGTTTTTTGTTTCTTATTTTCTGGAGAAAAATCTCGTTCAATTTACGGTAAATTGTTAAAAAAAACGGCATGTGGTTTTAGTTTTAGGTGCCGAATTGAGATTACTTGAGCAGCGTGGCACGCAATTTTCTGGTCAATATTCGTGAAAACCAATTTTCACAAAAAAATAAAACCCAATAAAAAATAAATTCTTATTTATTTTTATTTTCTGACCGATTATTTATGGAGTCTGGCAGCCACCCGGCACCACAAATCCGACCTGGCATTAAATTTCCTAGATTCCTTTTCCTCTACCCCCGTACCTACAGCAGCGAAAATGTATCTTCCCCAATAGACGTAGATTGTTCCTGAAATTTTAATTGTTTCATCGTAACCGTCCACGTGGACGATGGTACGTTGACTTCGGTGGCCGTTGCGTACAGACGATAAAGTCCTTGTTACAGCCTTTCTCACCACGTAAACGTAATTTATATTTAATTTAGGAAATTTGATTGGTGTCAAATGATTACTGGACGAGCATCGAGCGATCCGACTGTATCCAAAATCCTTCATCTAACTTCTCCATTTTTGCGACTCCCGTATCTTTTTGACGATCAATTGCTGTAATTTTTTGTCTTCAATTTGAATTCGACGGCAGCCATTAGAGGTTCTTCTTCGAGATTTGTTCGTTGAGGTAGCTCTTTCTGTGTTTCTTCAGTTTTAGCTTTTGCTTTATCATCATTGTGTATGTGTCTGTTTTCTGTTTGTGTGTTTGGCTCTTTCTGCGCAAGATTCCTGGATTTTCTTTTATGCTACTTTCGGTTGCAATGTTTGAAAAGCAAGTTTTCGGAAAGTCAATTACTAGTGGAAGGAGGTTGCTTCTGAAAGAGAAGGAATTAAGTTTTCTGTCTGTGTTTGGAATTTAAGAGTTCTGAAGATTGTGAGGTATTTGTCGGTTTGTTGAAATTTGCAGTGCTTGGATGAGTCTGAAACCTAACGAGAGAACGTGATTGTGTTCTTTTTTTTTTCTTTCTTTATTTCTTAAAGTAGGAACAATATTATATTATTGGTTCTCTGGATCTTGCCGACTCTTTGAGTAGAAGCAATCTTTCAAATGAAAGAGGGCAATATGCTGGCTTTAATTTTGAACTTGAGGGAGGTAAATTTAGTAAAGCCGTGTTTCCTTTTTATGACACAGCTCGATTTGGTCATGGTAGTTTCTTTTCTTGGTTGTGGTGTTTTTTATTTATCTATTTCCAATTGTGTGAAAGCTTCTGCTTCTGTATATATTGCTCGGGAAACTGAACTTAGAAAATCGAACCCTTGGCTGTTCCTTCACGTTCTACTATCTTGATTATTAAAATCTGGAAACTTGGCCAGAATTATTGAAGAATCTTGATGATTTCCTGAATGTTCAGACTTGAAGTTAGGTCAAACAGAGTTTATTATTTCTCTCTTCTTTTTCTTCCTTCCTGAGCTTGCAGGATCGTTTTGGTCTGTTCAAAATTGTAGCCTTTAGTCTATGATACATTACGATTGAATGCATGTTTATCTTCTTGTATTTGTTGACATGTACAATCTATGATTGCAGCAATTTCTCTCTTTCTTGTTTTGAAATCTAATCGATCAATTTGTTCCTGCTATTTTATCCTTACCAGGGAAACTGCTCCATTTCACCTCTCAGACCTTAGAAATCTACTTGTACTTAGTTTATATTTCTTTGGAAGGACTTGGTACTCATTAGTAAAGAAAATTGAATTCACACATGGCTGTGGCATTTCCCCAACTCTCGTGGTGGTTGTGGAGTGGGAAGAATAAAGAACCTCGAAGCTCTAATGGGTCTCCTCTAAATGCTTCCCTAGATACAGCCATCCGGGAACCAGATACTCTAAAATTTCCTTTAGTTAATGGGGCTAACATATCATCCTCGTCTAGAAGGGTGAAGCGGAAATGGCATAGTCGTGAAGAGAGGAAAATTGATAGGGAGTATGACATTGTTCTTGTTCCATCTGACGGAGGATGTGTTTCAGGGTCAGAGTCTGATGACTCAGATTGGTCAATTGGATGGTCGGAACCCAACGGACCTGGATTCCAGAGCGATGACGATCCAGACAACAGTTTCGCTGTGTTGGTTCCATGTTATGGACACATGTACAATGATTTTGTAGATGAAACTAAAAACAGTATCCTAAGTGCTGTTGGGAACATCAACGATAGCTTTTCTGCTGGTAAGAGCTGTTCCTTCTCAAGCTTGCATTTTGATGGTTGTTGCGTGTTAGTTATTGCTTTTGCCTTCCAAAATATTCTTCTAGTCCTCTTTCGTGAACAATGAACTCAATAACTTCGTTCATATCCCATGATACCTTAATTTGTTACCTTAAAGTCGACTGTATATTCTAAATGTTTGACGTCAGTTAGCCATGTTCCAAAGATGAAAAGTCTTTTATGTAACTTAGTTGTTATCTCATATTTATAGACCGTGTTTTATTTTTAGGAAGATGATGCTATTTCCTTTGATAGATTAGATTATGCTCATGGTAGGCGTTGTGCATCAGAAAAATCTTGAGACATTCTCAGCTTGACAGTCATGCATCAAGAAATCTTAGCAATGTCATTCTTTCCAAGAAAAGGGCAGTGCCAGATCCTTGTTTGCATTTCTTAGCTAGCACATAGTTATGTATATTTATGTAGTAACATAATGAGTATAGAGATCTCTTGAATGAACTATTCAAACCCATCCAGTAGTTTAATCTGTTCTATTGTCTGTATAACTGAGTAAGCAAATAGGCTTATATGACAGAATAAAACTCAACCTCTTCAGTGTGGGGACTTCTCGAGCATCTTGTTCGTATAGAAACTCTAAATTACCTTAGTGGGAAATGTGAATAGGCAAAAGTATCGATGAATTTATAGACTTTAGAGATTGTTTTCTATTTGTTTTGGCCCTTTAAGCAATATTACAGTTTCCCTCTTCTGATTGATTTCGTACTGGCTTCACTTCACAATGTACGGTTGTTGTTCTGGGAAATATGAATCATACTAGAAATAGAATTTAATATAAATGCCAGTATCTGCTGCATATATGAAATTTCTTTTTTGGTTTCCTTTATGTTTGTTGTAAGCTGATAATGGCTGCACTTTTGCTCGGAGCAGACAGCAAGAAATATATGGAACAATGGCTGTCCTCTCTCCAGAACTGCTGATGCACAGGATTTGTAATGGTTGCATGCGGATCTAACTACGATGCTAATGCTTCGTTTTCGACGACGAAAACATTGTGATATTAGCCATTTAAAAATTGGAAAAAAAATATGAAAAAAGAAAAGAAAAGAAAAAAGAATATAGAAGACTCTCTATTCTTATATTGCAGAGAAGTAAATTGGTAAGGTATGAATAGATTGGATGGAATGAGTGGGTGGAGGTCTCATCTTTTCAATTCTTTTGACCATGCTCTTAAGAAGAGAGAACTTAAAAAATGTCCTCATCTGGGATGAAGCTTGTTACTATGGGATGTAAATATTTTAGACTGGTTTGTAAATATGGAAGGGAGACAGGAAGAAAGAGCTTGAGCTTGAGCTTGAGCTGACCAGCTGAGGTATGAAGAAAAAGAAGATTAAAAAAATGGTGGAAGTGGAAATGTCCTGTTATTCTTTGAATATCAGTTAATGTATATAGTGGGAAGTGTTTAATTCTTCTAAATGTTGCTGTAAATAAGTGTCTCAATTGTATGCATCTTGTAAATATGATGTGAGTGGGTTTGGTTCAACCAAATGTTGCTGTAAATGCCTAAAATGGTGGCTCATTTATAAAATTTGTTGTACATAGTAACACAGTTGTGCAGAAATGTAAATATCTCTCTCTCTTCCTTTGATGTAATATATTTTGATATATGGCATTAAACCCAATGAAATTTAACATTTAGTTTTTTATGCCATACCTGTAGTGAGAAGTATGATTTTGAGGTTAACTCTGTAAAAGTGAGTTTGGTATCTGAAAAAAGTGTTTAAGGAAGAAAACTAATTAAATGCTTCATTTAAAAGCACCAAGTATTTTTTTAAACGCTTTTCTAGGATTTCTCAATATACTTCTGATTATCTAAAATTTTTAGAATTCATCAAACTACTTTTATATATATATTTTATAATTTTTCAAATATTATAATTTTTAGTATGCCAAATAAATTCTAAGGGAGTGTTTGGTTCACTTAGGGAGTAGAATTAGCTAAGCTAAATGGATGTTTGTTGGACAGTTTTAATTTTCAAGATAATTAGATTCAATGGAAGTTTTTATTTTTTTAATATGAGACCGACTAGGTGGGTAAGTAGAGAATATACTTAGTGGCGCAAGATAATTCTCTCTAAGGAACTCGGTAAAATAACCCACATAATCAATATTCTCATATACGATTAACTTCTTATAGGATCGAATATATTTCTATAGAAAAATCGAACATCTTGTCAAAGTGTCTAACATCCAACCTTACCTATAAATTGAAAAATAGTAAACTTTCAACTTTCAAAGTTTAACCAAGTTTTCTCTAGAAATAATAAAAAAAAAAAAAATCACTAAAATTTGATTTTAAAAAAAATCTAGAATATATCCAAGAACACGGACAATTATTAGAGATTAAAGATAGAACAAATACGATTCACGAGATGTACCAAATCCACTCTTTCTTTTCTTTTTTTCCTTTTTTTTTTTTTTTGACAATGCATTTACAGTAACTCGACAAAACAAACATCCTGTTAGAGCATTTGAACAGTGAACCCCAATTCAGTTCTTGACACGGAACAGTTATGAGGGAGAAGAATGTGAAGTTAGAAACACTTTGAAACAATAATTGAAGAACAAATAAAAATAAATACAGGTACAGAAGACATTTCTGATTATATGCTGCTGTCTTTCTTTCCGGTTCAAATGGCTGCAGTTTCTCCCTGATTTAGACGAGGAAAATGTCACATGAATAGCAGCCACTTCTAGCGAATCGAGACGCCATAACTTTCAACGTCAAAATGGTTGTTGTTTTCACTCTAACTGTCAGTAAATTTAACAGGAAAATCACCAAGAACACCTGCACAATATCCTAATAAAATTGTTCCCTCCATCTGGGGCAGAATAAATTTAGCTCTTCACCGTAGAATTTCCCTCCAAAATCTCATTTGCAGCTTCCTTGTGCCCCAAATTTTTGCTACATCCATCTGTTTTCATGGCAGGCCTATCCTTTCCGTTACCGTCCACATCCATATCCTGAGGTTTAGATCTCTCAACCTGTGATTGATTCATGCTTACTTGCTCATCTGATGAACCAGGAACCGTATTGGTATTACTGTTTTGTCTCTCTTCTACCTGGCTTCCAGTTTCAACTTTAATATCACCATCAGCTCTCGGAATGTTTAGTGAACTACTACGATTACTAGTCTCAGTAGCTTGTTTTTTCAAAGGTGGTCCTACGTCTGCTGGCTTTTCTTCTTTAACTCTTTCAGATATTGATCGTCTGGAAAGGCAATCTTCATCTTTTTGGGATGTAGCTTGTACATCACCCAAACCTCGACCTCTAATTTCTTCCACTGTCTTGATCTCCTTTTCTGACAATGGACCAGCAGCTGTAGCAGAGGCAACAGCAATATTCTGGTCTGTTGGTACGCTCGATACCATCGCAGTTGTTGGAGAGATGGTCTTTATGGGGCCACCACGAGACACACCTGGCATGACCGTAGGGTTGTTAGAGAGGATGGGTGTCTTAATACTAGGATGAGGTTCTAAATGGTTTGGCCCCCTGCCAGGAGTGGGTGTTTTGCTTGAAGCGGGGACTTTGGCCATTATATGGATGGCATTCTTTGACTGAGCAGCCTTGAGGAGAGATGCAGCATCTGCTGGAGAAGCAATGCGAGCCCCAGCAGCAACAGCTGCAGCTCTAACAATAGAGTCGGAATCGAAAGAAGACTTTGTAATCATCTTCTTGGTTGCAGTAACTTGAGCTTTAGCTGTTAGACTTGATGGTCCAATTGAAGATGGTTTTGTCGGAGTAGAGCTTTGATGTAATTTCTCTTGCAGTTGTTCCGAAGTGGCAACGGCAGCAAGGGAGCTACCATTACCAAGCGTATTGGTACCCGCTGGCCATAAGAAAAAATGTTGAACTTGTAAAAATGAGACACGTCGGAAATCTGTTGTGTTAAAAGCAGAAGGAATCTCATGCAACTCTCAATAGGAACTATTCCAAATAAGACATCTCTTCTCAAACGCATGCATGCATAAAATACAAATGCCAATTTGAATCTGTAAGAAAAAACATCAGTTCCCTGTAGTTTTGCCAAAACCACATCTCATAGTCACTGAATAGAGTCGATAGACTGAGATGATGATGTGTTAATAGACTAAGATGAGGATGTGTTAAACCCTATTTTTACAGTATATAAATATATTCTACACTACAATAGATGAAATGCACGAACATTCAATAAAAATTTCCAGAGCAGCTCATTTTTCTAATTTCTAAGTGGAAAATAAAGTAACCCTTCCAAGAAACCTAAAGAAGACAGTAATTACCTGAGCCACTTATACGAGCTGCTTTCAAGCTACCAACATGCTTATCAAGAGCTAAGGACATTGCATGACGAGCTGCCAGCTGTACCTCTGATAGCTGTGTACCGGCTGTGTTGGGTCCCACATTCAAATTTCCATGTCTCTTTTTAATAATTGCCCATCTCTACAGGAACAAAGAGTCGCTTATGTTTCAGAGACGATATAAACAGTATTTGGGGAGTTGAACAAAGGTTAGATTCCAAGACATACTACATGTAGCAAAAACATTACAAACCAATTACGTAGTAATGTGAAAGAACTATAAGAACATGTCTCCACAAAAGACTCCGCTGCCGGGATTTGAACCCGGGACAACTGGGTCAAACCCAGATTCTGGCCTGACTAGATGACAACGGACAGTCAATTGTGTTAGTTACTTCGCTCAATGTCTTGGAAGTCATGGTTAAGTTTCATTGGTGTGATAGATGTAAATTCTAAGACTTACAACGAAAAATGTGAAAAGGAATGATGAGGCAGCAAGTTGAAATTTAGAGAGAATATCACCACAATCAACTTGAATTTGGAAGTCATAAATGGTCTGATGTCGTTTCTTGTAAAAAAAAATTGGTTTGATGGAAGCAAGAACTTTTAGGAACATTTAATTTCTAAAGTGATGTTGTAACTTCATGCAGTAACATGAAGATAGCAAGCCACAAGGCAGCTGTTATGGCAGAAAGAATAAACTCAGTGAGTGGAGTTCAGTTACTATTCATGTATTCAAGTAGTTTGAAGTGTCAGGTATCAGCCAAATTATCTGGGGGTGGGATGATCTATTCCTTCATTCCCATTCCTAATAAGCAAATACGGTCTGGTAATATTCATTAATTATTTTAAGATAAGTGACCATTTATGTTTCTTTCAGCACAGTGCATTAATTGCAAATATCATACTTCACTAATTGAATAAAAATGAAAGAAGCTATAGGCATACTATCTGACATAGAACAAAACCAAAAACTACATGATTCATTCAGCTTCCATCAATTAGATAAATGAAAGAAAACGCCAAACAACACTTTTGCTACATGACCCAGGGCATAGAGGTAGAGAAAAATACAAGACAACTATCAGAGATAAATGATAAAACTATACATACTACTAGAGCATTGAAGTCATATCGGACCTGGACATTTTCCTAAAATGCTGTAAACTGAAGGCAACGCGAGAAGCTAATAAACTAAGAACTTATCAGAGAGAAAAGAGATGATAATCGCTTTTCTGGACAGAAAAGGGGAGATAGATAAGTGATGCGGCCTAAAGCATGCTACCCACACAAAAATAAAGGTGAAAAACAACACAAAACCTGAGATAGCTGTGAAGCAGTTCTATCGCTTAAGAAGTCTCCCCGTAAGATGTTTGCCCAATTCCCTTCACCACATTTCTTAACTGCAGCAATCAACTCAAGGTCCTCCGCCTCAGACCAGGGTTTTCTTTTCCTTCGAGAAGCATTGTTGCCATATGATGATCCATTTCCATTCAATCCTTCAGCAGATGAGGGGGTAAGGACTGGCTGTCGCTGAACAGAAACAGGAACCGTGATGGCTGCCCCTTTTATAAAGCCAGCAGGGTCTACACTTTCTAACTGAACCCCGGACGTGTAACTTCTAGGTAGATTTATAGTTAGTGGAGCCTCTATGGTGCTACTGCTTGGAACATTCAAGTCACTTGGAGAACCAGAAGAGATAAATACCTGCCAGAAGTAATTTACCATTCATTAAGTTGATCCCGCAGATGTAAAACTAAAAACTGCCGAGTCAAATTACAAAGCTTACCATCATTTTTTAGGAGGAATCTAACCATTATTAACATGCATCAAAAAATAGATGTCAATCTACATAGAAAGTCGAAATGGATCAAAAGGTCAACATGACAATAATCTTAACCAAAAACTAGACCAATGAAATTGATGAGGAACGTGAGGATTATAAAATAGGTAATGTTGCCGAGTAAAATTGTTTCACTTTTAATCGAGGCCATTCTGCTCCGTGCCACCGATTTTTAACCTATTTCATTACATTTTAGATTGTGATTAACCTCTTAAGGTTATGATCATAAAAATATGCAAGATTCTTAAAACATTACTATGCTAGCTCTTCCAAGTTTTCAATCCTCAAGACAGTTAAAGTCTAGCCTGATGACGATTGAAACAGATTCTTCACATTCGGAAGTGAATATGTATGATACTTAAATGAAGTATTGGTAAATGATTTTCCATCCAAGCAAGCTAGGAAACAATTAAAATGAAGTTTGGGGCATGGATTTTATTTACTTACCTTCGCACACGCTGCAGCCTCCGATAAAGCTTCGCAGCTGACTGATGGAAATGGCTCTAAATCACACTCTAAGTCACTGTCATCTTCCTGTAAGCAATTTTCTTTGCAGGAGTCAAGAAATTTTGTAGACATATGGACAAATAAAACGAAAAGACTTGTTAATTTACTTCGACTGACCAAAGGTGCTTTCTCATCGTCCAAATTGTCAAGTAAAGCGTGACGATAAGCTAAATGCCGCCATAGCATCTGATATTCCCTAGCATTACAAATCCCAGTAGAAGTATTTTTAACCAACTCGTTCCAATCAATCTTCGCTTCTGAAACTTGCCCCACTTCCTGTAGCAATGCCAGCACCGTCGTCGGAGAGTACCTGTCCAACACGCGAAATCTCAAATAAGCGGATCACTCGATACTAAAAGATTATCCAGATAGAATCTTGTGAACAGCAACATGCAGGAAATTTTGGGACAAATATTGATTCCTCCTGCAATAAGTGAGATCCATTCCTTCTTTGGTCTTAGAGCAGGCAAAATCGAACCATTTACCTCTGTAATAGATTGGAAATATCTTTCTCGCTGACAGATCGTTTCTTGAGCTTCATTGGTTTCTCTACCAATCTTCTGCTCGGATGCGATGTGCATACGATGGGCCGATAACGATTCAAGATTACTCCACTCAATCTTTCCAATAATCAGCTAAAACCCTAACGAGTGACAGTCGAGGAGGGAGATATCACCGGCGAGAGAGAGTAAAAATTGTCCGTCGAGGAGGAGAATTGTGAACAGATGAGAAGAAAAAGGGGAACAGTCGACGAGTACGAGTTCGTGTTCGGAGAGGGCGATTCTGGCCAATCGTTGAAGAACGTATGTTTCACGCGCGAAATATAGTGTCGAGTCGTGGCGCCGCCGGTCGATAAAATCGGTAACAGGTTCAGAATTCAGATATGGTCCATCCAACGAAAATTACGGCGATGCCATCCATGAAATTCCTTTTCTTTTCTTTTCTTTTCCTTTTTAATTCTATTATTTTAGGGCCCAATTTGATCAGGATTTTGTTCTTTTTACCTTTGTGTTATAGAAATCTTCGCTAAAATTTAAAAATGAAAATAGATTTATAAAAAGGAAGTGGACAAATAAATTTGGTAAGTGTAGTTTCCCATTATTACAACCTTTATAAGATTGTTTGAAAATTATTCTAAAATAACCCCTTTTACCAAATAGTGCGTAAATTTAAAAATTGTAGCAGTATATTCTTCTATACTGTAAATTGTTATCTTGTAGCCTCCATCTCAATCATGACTTCTTCAAATATTACCAATGATTGAAGAAATCTTTAAAAGTGTCTTTGCATTTGATATAATATTAAAATAATATATATATATATATATTTTTTTTTGTGAGTTTAGTGATTTTCTACTTACCAGTGCTAAAATTTTGATTTTGAAAATATAAAAAAAAATCTTTTTTCCCTATATTTTTTTATTCATTCATCTCTTAATTATCAATTTTTTTAACCATAATTAAAAGTTATCTAGGCATCGATAAAGACCTATATCTTATCCATAATATATATATATATATATATATATATATTGAAAGTTAAATTTTAGAAGTAGATAACACAGCTGCCTTTCAAAGTTCAAATTCCACGCTCATTAATTATTATACCAAAAACAACCACCATTTTCATAATTGACAATTTTTGTAACTTTTCTTACATTTTTTTTTAATAAACTTTACTAACATCTTCGAAAATAACTTCTTTTACTTTTTATTCAAACGACTAAAAAAGAGCTTTTAACATCTAGTCTCATTCGCTCCTAGTTTCGTTCGTAGCTGGAGAGGAGACCGTAAAATTAAAACGCCGCCCTTCGCAGACGGCGGCCCTACTCAAAATTAACGCCATCGTCTTCTCCACCTCCTCCTTTCAGATCGGATTCCGACCATAATCGAAGTTTCTCCACTTCCTGGAACTGGTAAGAAGAAGAGGGAAAGAAATTGCAGACAGTTTCAGAGATTGAGAAAGATGGTGATCGACATACTTCTCCAAATTGGTATCATCCTCGTGATGGCCTTCATGTTCCTCGCTATGCATGACATTCCCCAGAGATTCTTCGCCAAGCTTCGGTTGCGCTTCCGAGCCGATGTCGAATCCAAACGCCGCTTCGTAAGAGGCGCTCAGCTTCTCGCTCGAGCGAGATCTGCGCCGTCGCGCTCCTCGGCGACGTCGTTGGCCGAAGAAGTTGTAGTGGAAGCCGACAAGGCCATCGCTCTCGATCCCAAGGATGCCGCTGCTCACATCCTCAAGGCTCTGGCTCTCGACATCCAAGGATTCAAGACCTCTGCTCTCGAATCGCTCGATACGGCTCTGTCGCCGCTCGTCGCAAAGTCGCTCAGCAATGAGGAGCGAGGAGACGCGTTGTTTAAGCGAGCTGAGTTGAAGATGTCCACGAATCGGCGAGCCCTAGTTGACTCGGCTTTAGCAGACTTGACCGAGTCAGTGGCGATGAGCCGGAATGCGAATGCCTATTGTTGGTTGGGGAAGTGCTACGAGATCAAGAAACTGAAAGTAGAGGCCAAGAAAGCATACGAAGAAGCGTTGAACATCGAGCCACGATTATCCAACGCTCGGGAGGCATTGGAACGCTTATCATCGCCGTAACCTCCGACGTCTTCTGTGGTCCGCGGGAGGTCAACGCTGGGAGAACAAAAGAACGTCTCTCAATCTTGTCAGTTCCAAATATCACCTACTGATTGGCCTTCCTTATCTATTTTACGATTGATGCGCTGAATTGGCCTCCAGAACAGGTTTATCCTCTCTGAAACTATAATTTATAATTCGAGCTATGAACAAGCATTTGAATGTGGACCATATTTCCTGTTTTTCTGAGTTATAGGTGTTCTTTCTTTTCCCCCATAGGTAGGTTCATTCTTCGTTTCCTCGTCTTTGATGCGATGTCTGTTAATCTGCTACGGTTTTACTTGTAATTTCTGTACAAGGTGAGATTAGATTAGAACAAATCCAAAAACGAAATAGACATGGCAATTCATCTTCGAAGTAACTTTGCTGCTCTGATCTTCAAGAAGAGAAATTTAGATGCAATCAGATGGCCATCTGATTCTCTCATCCGCATTAGTACAGAATTCCCACTTTCTAAAAGTCTTCACGAAATCCTGTCTAAAGAGACATTTGGGATAGAACATGAAGACGTCGGAGATTTGTCCATTTTCAATAGAGATCCAAGCTGCTCATAGTCATACATGCTTGCTCGAATTTCCACTTTTCCACTTTATAAAAGTGGAAATTTCGACAAAAGTTGCTTGTATATAGTAATTTCTACACTTCAAGCTGTCTTTTGGGTCGGCAATCTTCGGCAGAGGAGTCGCTAGGGGAATGATACCTAAAGCTGTTTGCAAATCTTTTGGACTTTAAACCTCTTTTGGGTCCTTGTACTTTTGTTCCTTGAACTAAATCTCGTGTAAAGATGTAGCCTATCTTAAATTGGTAACAATTTAGTTCCTATAATTTAAACTCAGAAACAATTTAGTCTCCAAAAATTTTTATCAAAACATTCATATGGGAAGTTTGGAGATTAAATTGTTACCATGACTAGATCCTTACTTCAATGAAACAAAAACTTTAGATATCGATTGGAGGTTCAATCTCTCAACCCCATATTTATGGTACGAAAAGAAAGAAAGAAACTCAATACCTAAGTTAACCTCTCTACACCATTACTGTCCAAAAAACACTGAATATGTCACAAATGGGAAGCTGTTTAAATCGGGAGAAATTATTGAAATAAATGCATCTCAATCAAATATATTTTCATCCTTTTTCTCAATTTCATTCATTCGTGTAAATCTCTACACTGGTTGAGAATTGGAAGACCTGCATTTTCTTTTTCAGCACAAAATCCAGAAAATTCATCAATTCTGCCATCATAGGGGAGGTGAGAAAGGGAAGAATTTTCACCCAAACTAATGCAAGAAAATAACTTAGAAGTAGATATCACAGCCATGACAGTTTCAAAGCAGACTTCTACTAAAAGCTAACTTCACAACTCTTTGACCATACAGCATTTTAGCGTTTCTGTAAATTACCTCTCGCAACTATTTGATCAAACAATATTTTATCATTTTTGTAAATTACCGCAACTGCCCTCGCAATAGCTCTTCTGTTTACTACTTAAATTACAAGGCTAAGCATGACTCTCCCATTCAATTTCGATCCATGGATTTGGAAAGGAACTAGCAATCACTGAAGAAGCCCCCCTGCTACTACTCCAGTGGCCACATTCCCCACTGAACCACAAGCAGTTTGAGCGTCAGAATGAGGTAAACTCGTAACATCAGAGGTTCCACAGTTCATTCGATTGGAACCGAGATCACCCGAATCCCCATTTCCGAAATTACTATTTAGGAGTGGAGTCATGTCACTTTGGACAATAGAGACCGGAATGTCACTTGAGCTTAAGTTCGTCGTTCCACATCCAGAATTCAGCACGGTATCCTTGGCTGATTCAACATATTCTCCAATACCCCGCATTTGAACCCCGGTTGAGGTTGATCCATCAATGTTGAACTCCAAATTGCTGGTGAAATCGAATGGTCCATTTCTGGGGAACTTATTCCTTACCGTCCTCCTAAATCGGCCTTTCCTTGTTCTGGGCGCTCTACTAGTCTTTGGTTTAACTGATAAATCTGAATCTTTTCTCTTGCATGGGAGCACAGTGAGTGGAACATGCTCAACAGGATTCTCGAACAACGTCGTCGGGCAAGACTGAATTGCTAACAAAGCAGTTCTTGCAGCTTTAATTTCTGCCTCTTTCTTTGTTTTTGCTACAGCACCAATGTAGCGAATCCCTCCAATTTCTACTGTACATGAGAAAAGGGGTGCTCTGCCTGAACCATCATCCTTTTGGCACTGATATAGTGGGATTGCAAAGTTCATCTTCTGTGCATATTCCTGAAGCAGATTTTTGCACAGTCCTGTTTCATGCTGGATGATAAAGGTGAAGTTGTCAAAAAAAAGAGAGAGAGAGATGGGGAAAATCACAAAGCAGCTTTTCTGCTCACTGCCACTAAATCACCACCCCCAATGTCAAACTGGAAAGTTACAGAAAGCATTAATTCTTCTTTTTACTACAATCCCCACCCCAACCCATAAAGAACAAGAAGCAAAAAGCTGACAACTATAAACTACTTGGGATATTGTCACAGAACAAAAGGGAATAGGTCTGCCAAGTGAAATAAGGCTACAGCTGAGCTGCTTTATCTATTATGTAACCTAATAGTAAGAGGATACAACCACAGACCAGAAAAATTCTCGCAAAACAATTTTCAGCAGAGAAGATAAACAGTTTCCATATTATATCTTGAAGTCCTTTCAATAAAAGTTTTCATTCTTCTTTTTTTTCTAACAAAATACACTTTTCAGTATGTATTTAGAAGTTGCCAAAAGGAAATTCTATAACCACTCCAACGGGATTTACATTAATGCGCATAAAATGTCTAGATAGAGCACCCAAAAAAGAAGCATGAAACTTTGATATGTCTCTCTCTCTTCCCACTCTATGATTTTGCCCTCAAAATCCCTCGATCTCTTTCTATTTGGTATTCAGTAAATCTAAAAACAAATGAACTTTCAATAGGCAAAAAACTAAAATTCTTATCAACAAGCAATACCAAATTTTCCCCAAAAGTATCGCATTTAAAAAGGAAAATTTGGGAATAGAAGGGAAGTAAACTCGAAAATTACCCAACAATTAGTCATGAAAACAGACAGTGGGCTCTGACATTTGGTTATTAGAGAGGTTCACAATATCTAAAAGTGGGACTTGATTTGAATTGGATCATACAGTATTTTGTGGTCAACAAACACATTTAAAGGGATTAATATGGGTGAAGGATGTGAAATCTTACCACGGGTAAGGAGACATGTGGATTAAGATCACTAGATTTTGAGAGCACCATAAGAGCTACCTCAGCAGCTGACTGCTCTGCTGCCTTACGATTAGAAAATCCAGGTAAAGAATCATATCTAACATCCTTTACGATCACAGTAGAATGAAAGGTTGGCTCATGTGATGGACCTTCTTTGATAGTCTCATATACGGGTGTGGGAAGTCCCACTTTTTGTGCATATTCCTGCAGTCGGCTTTTGAAAACATAGCAATTTGAAACACCTGTTATCCATCAAAGAATCAGAAAAATAGCACCAACAGAAAAAACTTGTCCTATCCTATGCTTAGAAAACAAAAATAAACCACCCTTCGCATGAAAAGTAATATTCATACAATAACTAGGCTGCAGATAGAAGAAACCTAATAAATTAAGTTAAAAACATTTGCACAATGGCATCAAGCAGTTCAAAATGTTAAATGAAATCAACACTGAAGCAAAAAAACTTAAAGATGATAAACTTAATCTTTTAATATTCTTACCACTCTTTATTTGTGGTCTTGAAAATTGAAACAATGCCCAACAAGCGATTATCGATATTAATTTGGGAAGGAAATGACATTACAGTTTGAATGCGAGCCCTAATATCACGTTAAACAATCACTGAAACTGAAACCCTTGAAGCTAATAAGTTTACATAGAAAAGATAATTTTTTTTAAAAAAGAAAAACATCGGTACAATAGCATTAAGACCTTCTCTGCTCATCTCAGACAAATAGTTATCTCAAGAACACTGTCCTATCGAAGCTCAATTTCCCCCTCTAAAATTAGCAAAATCCTCTGAGATGATCCGAATACAACGAAACTAAAATAATAGAAAATGGCCAAGTTCCTTGAAAAAAATCCAACTAAAACAACATCAATACTGAGTCAGATATCACAGTTGAGAATAGAAACGACTCCGAGAAGTAGCTGTTCGAATTTAAAAGAAAAAGAAAAGGGTATACCTTGAAAACTGTCTTTGGCTGGCATGGCTCCGAAGAGTAGCAAGAGTAAGAAAAAAGCGCGAATCTGCTCTCAGGAGAATCGAGTATTAGTAAAGGCGAGAGGGGAAACGGAGCCGCACGCTGGGTTAAAAACCACTTCGAAGACGCGAAAAAAAGGAGCTGCCTGCGAAGTTTGGAGCCTAGGTGATGGTGCCCTAGGGCTAAAAACCATTCTATTACAATAATTTCTTTTTTGGTCACGTTTTATGATCGACTAAATTTTTTAATTCTGGACCTTATAATGCTGTTTGGGGAAAAAATAATATAAAGAGTAAAGTGGAGATTTGGCACAATTTATTTAGAGCTGAATTTAAGTCATCATTGCCTTATAATGGTATTTAAAAAAAGGATGGTGGGTAAAATGGGGATTTAGGGAATTTAAGGCTGCCTTTACAAAAGGAAGAATACTTTTAAGGTTAGGTAAATTATTTATTTTTCAATTTCATCTCAATATTTTTTAAATTTTTTCTAAGTATAACAGATACGCTGACAAAGAGCATATCTCATGATTAATATTTTAAAACTTTCAATTTTACCTGATTTTTCAACCAAATCTTTATTCAATTAAGTCATTAAAATTAAATATAAGGATAATAATGAAATTTAAAAATAGTGTCTTTTAAGAGTTGACTTGTAGATTCTATCCAATTAAAAAAATTCAACTAATCCCAATCAATGATTTTTTTTTTCTCAAAAAAAAAAAATTGATTTTTTGTGAGGTTGTGTGAATCTCTCCCGATCTTAACTTGAATCATGATTTGAACTTACAGTGTAGGACGTGTAAAAATAAATAAACAAAACTAAATTTGTTAAAGAGGAGGAAAGTGACGTGAAAGCATAACTCAGAAAAATGTTACATTTTTTAAATTAGGGCTTTGCATTGAGGATTTGGGTTCTGGAAAAACATTTCACTCGAAAACTATAGCATTTGAAGTAATGTAAAAGTTATTAAAAAAAAAGTCAAAATAATGTTTTATGACCGTCAATATAAATTTAACTCCAATCTCCAGCCAATAGATCATAAGATGGAATTCCTCACTCCTAGACAATAACATTATTATAAATCAATTTCAAAAAAGGAAAACTTATAGAAGATAATTGTAATGTTATTAAATTAGTCCAATTATAATCTACAAATATTTTGAAATTTTTTTATTATGATTATTTGACCAAATTTTTATGTATCTTGTCCTCAAATCAAATCTTTGGATCTGCTATCATTGACCGAGTATTGACGTTCTGTTGAATTTACCTGACTTGTTATATGGTCGTTCTGAAAATCATGTTTATTTAAAAAACCAATTCATAAAAGTAACATAATAATGAAAATAAATCTAAAATCTTATGAACCTTAGGAAAGACTCCTGCAATTTATTTGTGCAGAAAGGTGCCACTTGGCAATCCAATTCATCAATTAACCCAGCCTAACCACGTGAATTACGGGGGAAAAAACAAAAAAAAAGAAAGACCAAAGCTCTATACAATTTCCTGCTTGATGCATCAGAAAGACTGTTTTATCACTAAGTTGAACCGTATAAATTGCATCTGAACTGAACGTGACAGTTCCAAAACCAAGTACAGCATTGAAACTTGAAAAAGTAAAACCTGAGGAGTGAGGAGTGGGGAGGAGCTTCACGTGTATTTGCTCCAAATCAGCCAGTCAGTCAGTCACAAAATGGCCTACATACTGTGCTTCACTACAGCCCAAGATATGTTCAAATCTATAGAAGATTAGCCTACACTACCCTGCAGCTCTTAACGCCATATCCAATTGCAATATTCTTGTTTCAAAGCCGGTTTCTGGTTGCAGAAGATCTCATCCATGAAGGTGTGGCTTAGCTGCCCTGCCAAGCTCGGCGGGTCGTCGATCAAAGCATCGATAAAAGCACTAACAACTCTTCTGTCCTTCACTGATGCTTTCAGGCTGAACCAAGTGAGGAACTTCACTCGGAAGTCTTCGCCGATGTGCCCTTCGTGCTCTAGCCACTTCACCATTCTAACAGAATAATCGTAGTCAGACTCTTCGGCTCGCCTTTTGCAATTCAAACCGAGTAGGATGCGGGTCTCGCTTAATTTGCAAGGTGTGGGAGGACAAACTGATATTGGTCTCATTGGAGTGATTGAGTTCTTTGGGGAGAGATTTTTGTAGAGCCCTTCGCATTTGCTCTTGTAGAGTCCATCCAGTGGATATTGATTAATCAGGTTGTTTTTCGAATCTACCCGAGAATGAAGTAGATTAGTGCTCCTAATTTCTCCATTTCTATGTATTCCCAAAGCTGGACACGGCTTTGATAATTTTGGCGTGACCCATTTGGCTTCCCAAACACCAAAGACTTGTGTGCTACTAAATAAAGAGACCTTGCAAAAGTACTCAGTTGAAGGAAAAAGATCATTGATCTTAAACCTCTTTTCTGGCTTCAATGCGATGAAAGATGGCTGATCAAGATAAACAGCCATGCTGGCACTGCGATGCCAAAGTCTGCAGCCTAAGAAGTCCATCAACAGACGATCATCGTATCGAAGCACGACAATCACCGAGGTAGGGCAAGAGTCTTCAAACAGGATCTCGCAGTCTGCCAAGACAAATCACAATGAACAGTGAAAAAATGTTTTAACTATTTTCCGCTTAAAATTACTAAATGACATGACTCGGTTAATCAACAATTAAGTATCTCCAAGTAATCGTTGCAAAATAATAATGATAATAGACATCACATCAAGTTCGAATTTGACTTCGATCAAATATATAAGAAAAGAATATCAATTCATACTTCAAATTTCTGAGAAAAGATACTTACTCAATGTTTCTCCCTTTTGCATACAACCTCTGTAAGGGGCACAACACATAGAATCAAAGGCCTCCACAGCAGATGCACAAAGTTTCTGGACCTCCGCACCACAGGATAGCCGGTTGACAATTCCCCTTGCCATCCTTAAGCAAACCTCATCTAGGGGCCCCACTTCATTTGTCAGCATATTCACGGCCAATTCTACTGTTTTCTGCACTTCCTTGTATATATTTGTCCCTACAAGAATCTTGTGACACAAGGATAGTCTTAGACATAGTAAATCAACTCTTCTTGCCTCCTTTGCGGTCAGCAGTTGTCTTCTCCAACTACTGTAATCAGAAACTTTCTAATCAGTTGTTAAACTTAGCCAAATATAGGTATGGTTAACTCACAAATTGGCTAGCGAATCCTACAAGTACAATTCCATTTCTTATATACCAGATCCAGTTTATATGGTCCCTGCATGTTGGAATTACATTATTTTGATCTGGTTGTCTTTCGTGTCACACGTTTGGGGGATGCATCCAATTCAAACAATAATTCAGTTAAAAAATGCCAACTTAGAAGAAAAAGAGTGCAAATCATAACATACCCCATCAATCCATTGATCTTTCCACATGAAACGCAATAAAAACTTCCATCTAATTTTTCACAGAGACTATTCTTCACAATTCCTGTCCTTTCATGCTTCAGGGCACACTCCAAATGACATGACGTTCCACAGGAGTCCTTCTCATTTGAAGGGTCGGAGCCACAGGTCAGCCAAAGACTTGGATCCTTGTTATCATCATAGCAATGGCAGATGCAACACGAACATCTCTTGCAAAAAGCAAGCTGTGGATTTAGAGGTGCTTTGCAAGCCACGTTCTGACAAAGCTTGACTTCAGTACATTCCTCATCAGTCTCAAAGGACGTATGATTGGAGTCCGAGAGCACAACAGATGATCGGTCCGTGTTCCGGGGCCTCTTATTTCCAGTTTGAGTTTTGTCTAGTAAAAAGGCAAGGGTGCTGCTTCTCTCGGATTTCTGAGAGACCAACCTCAAAAGGTGCTCTATCATTTGGGATTTCGAATATCCCGTGTATTTCCTTTCTTTCCCCATTTCAGCACAGATAATTTCAAGTAGCTCCCTGCGGGTAAAAGACCTAAGGGTTTCAGACGCGGCTTTGGATTTTTGGGCAATCTCATGGATTATTTCCTTTTTCTTTTCCATACTCATCTTGCTACTGCATTTTCCAGACTCAATACCATAACCTGAAACACAAGCATGGCTCATGCGTTTACAGAATGTCTACATTCGACCAAGCACGCAGTGGCAGAAGATGAAAGAACAAAATCAGGCAAATCTCTTAACAAAAAAAAAATTATATTCACAAAAATAGATCGCATAATGCAATGGCCTACGATAGAGAAGAGCCAAATGGAGAAACCCCACGGAAAATACAATGTCGATAAACAGCAACATTGAACATGGAGGTACTGTTTGGGAAAAGGGAAAAAAAGAACCAAAAGCAAATGGACAGAGAAAGAAAAGCCAAACAAAATAAATGCTAAAGCCAGACGACATGAATGACATTGCCCAAGAAGGTGCCGTCTGCCGAGACATTGATATAACAAAGCGCTTAAATGCAAAGATGAACATCCATCAACAGCCTCGTAAACAAAAACCCAGAAAGCGAAACCGTAAACTGAGAACTTACCCGCGAACGCTGGATCTAAGCCGGAAAACCTCTCCTCTGGTTCGCTCATCGTACGCAATAATATGAAGAAAAAACAAAATTAGAAAAAGAAAGATGAAAATTGCGTATAGTTTGCACGGTAAATAGGTCTCCAATGGCGAAAACAACAGAGAATAAAAATAAGAGAAAGTTCTTCAAGCACAGTGAACCGGGACGGAGAATTTCAGAGAGAGAGAGTGGAAAACTGAAAGCGAGAGAGAGAGAAGAGAGAGAGTGGAAAAAGGAAAAGAGAGAGAATCGGGGTGGAAAATACAAAAAAAGTGAAGATTATGGACTAACAAATAAGAATTGCCATTAATGTACAAATGCAAGAGTTGGTATGGAACTGTGAATACCATGGGGAAGCCAATCCCAAAATGGCCACTGAAACAAACTGAATAAGCAAGCAGATTTTAAAATCTTTTTTTAAACATTTATTATTATAATTATTAATATTTTCCTTTTTATTTTTTGGTTGCGTGATCGAACACGCGCCGTGGCGTACGATTTGACTTGATCGAGGATTTCGGCTTCGGTTTCTTATTTATTATTTATTTATTTTGGCTGTTTGGGGCGGGTGGTGGGGGGCGGGGGGGCAATCTGATCGCAGCTTGGGAAGCTTTTTTCTCTGGGCCGCGAGGGAGGCGAAACTTTTCTCCAGGGAGTGAATGCTACGCTGCGGCATTTCATACGGTTGGTTTGGTGTGGGTCATCGAATCAGAGCCGTACGTTTAAGATTGGACTGTTGAGATGCGTGTTTTGAAGTGGACCCACTTATAGCTAGCCTGTAAACATCCTCTACGATCCCAATTTTCCATGCAAACTATTAGGTTTGATATATGGGCATTTCGGTCGTTTCATAGGTGGATGTAGTTACCCAACAGCCATTCAATGGCTCCTATATGGCTTTATTTGATATTTTTAATTATTTTAAGGACATTAAATGTGTACCCTTTTTTTAAAGGAAAAAATCAAACCAATTCAAAATATATATATCAATTTTCTTTGTTTTATAATAAAAGAATTTAAATATGTTAACTTGCCTTAAGTTCACCCTCGTGAAAAATAAACTAGTGGGATCCAATGTGGGTACCATCTACAATCGAGTCGGAGGATCTTCAATTTGATTGAGTATAAGGTTGAACTAGGGATTTTAATTGAGGTCTTTGACGGGGACGGGAAAGTTTTAATAATTTGTAAGTATTATATATATAATAATATTAATAATCAATCAATTTAATAAATATTTTATTAGATTTTAAAAACCTTAAATTTCTTTCCCTTTCTCTCCTACCCCTTTTATAACAATTAAATATCTGTTTTATTGAAAAAATTAACCCATTAAAATGCAGGTTCCCCCTCCAAAATTTCTGGAATGGGTGCAGAGATGAGGATTGCCTATAGTTATCATCTATATTATGTTTTTAGTCTAACATGTAGTGGGGTGGGGATCGAACTCACAACCTCTTGATTTGAGAGGTATGTCAATTATCGTCATACTTACTCTGAATTAAGGTACAAGGAAAGAACAACAACAAAAAAAAATTTTTTAGCACAACATTATGGGGATGGGGTTCAAACTCATGACTTTTTAATCAGAGATAGGTGCCTTAACCACTTGAGCTATACTCGGTTTGGCCACGCTCCATCGCGTTGTTAAGCTTCCAAAAATTGAAGTTTGAATAAATTTAATTCCTATGCACTAGATTGCGGTATAGATTCTCCTAAAATTGTTTGTTTTTTCTTTATTGGAAATTGTTATCTTTAAGACTTAGTATCTCATCACTCAAACCAATATGATCTTTATTTCTTTTTTTTTTTACGAATAACATGTAGATTCAATATATGAAGATATGAGTAAAGATTCTCCTAAAAATACTAAACTAATTATTAGAATCCATATAAATATATTAAATTTATCCAATCCATCAGTTTAAATTTTTGGGTTGAGTTGTGGTTTATAAATTAATTTAAAGTGCTTTTAATGAAAAGCGAAGTGATTTTGACAATGTCAAAACTGATTTTGGTCATATCAAAATCACTCCCAAACACATCATTTATGTATACGCATAAACATTGTTTTTAGCAAATATTTTTATACGTTTTGCCCAAAACCATCGTATGTGGTTTTATCTTTAGGAGTTTCCAAAATTACCCTCCAACGCTCCCTTGATTAACTACATTATTATAATTATTTAACCTTTACAAGTTCTATTTGATAGCAATCAAGCATATAACTCAACTGTTGTTTGATAGTATGCAAATGATTTTTAAAATGTAGACACATGTTTGAACTTTTTATCATACTAATGATCCAATATTTTAAAACAAATGACATAGTTGATAGGGAGGATAAAGTAATTTTTTAAAATGACCACACAGTTGAAATATTATAACATTGAATAGATGACTATTATATATCTTTCTTCTTTTATAAGGTTAAAACTCTACCTTAACAACATCGAGCCCCAAGTCGGGCTTGAGCCTAACTCGGCCCCTATGATGGTATATAGAGATAAGTAGCTATACAAATTCGAAGAAACATTAAACGTATCGTTGTACTAGTTTTATTTAATAATTGTACTATCCCATAAAAAAAAATTGTACTATAACTGCCTAAAACGTAAGGTAAAACATGGAAATTTATATAATTGACATAATTCGACTTAATTAATTAGATAAATAGTTAAGTTGTACCTCACCGAAACTCCAATAAAATAAAAAAAAAACATTTCTCATATATTTCAAAGTAGAAGTCCTATTTGTGGTATACGTACTATCACAAATTCGTATTGTTTTTTGTATGAAAATAATTATCTCTCTTGTATTATGGTTAGAAGTTGTACAATAGATTACAAAAAGTTAGGTGCGTATATACACGTGCATGAATTCAAACAAAAAAGTATTAATTCGACGACTGAATATATGCATGTATGTTTGAATTATTAAATTGTAGCCGTTATAAGTCACCAAGTTTAATCATCATAATATATTTTATGCAACCCCTCAAAAGTGATGTATATATATATATATACAAAAATTATTATGGATACTAGATAAATGAAATAAATATTTTATTGAACAATAAAAAGAAAGATAAAGCAATTAAGAACAAAATATTTTATTTAACGCCATCCAAATAGATAATTACTGAGAACATATAAAAATTAACAACTATGATCAATACCAAACTTTGTTAACCATCGTCGATTTTTTTTTTCCGATCACTAGCAAACAGTTAAATTGTTACACTTGCATGACAATTTAACAACACAACTACTTAAAATAACTATCATAATAATGCCACAAAATCAATGGCTATAATAATTGCACAAGCATCTCAAGCATAGTAACAAATAGTAATAAAAATTGAGATGTTATAATTTAGCYAATAATTAATGTAAATTGAGCTAAGCTCGATTGGTTAAGGCACTCATGTAGGACTAAAATATTGCAAATTCTAATTTTCATCCACACATGTATATTTTAGTACAACAATATGTTGGAGTGAAGTTCGAACGAACGACGGTTTAGTCAATGATACATTTCTTGACTATGCTTAGGTTGACCTATCCCACATTGTTTTTGTTTCTTTTAATTATAATCTTTAATCGCATAAATATCGATGTATGATATCATATCATAAATAAATAATTGGCTATTTTTTAGTTTAACATCGTACAAAACTAATCATTAATTAAACTTGAGTGTCAAAGTATATCGCAATGGATTAACACGTGTATTATCAAATAAAAAGACGTATTCGAATTATTTAACCCCACGCGTAGTTGAATTAAAACAACTAAAATTAAACATTTGAGAAAAAAAAAGAAATAAGAAAAAGGCAAATTCACAATCTTCCAAGACTAGCTCACAAATGATTTAACTCAGCATCTAGATCGAAAAATTAAATAACTAACGCATTGTATACAGCTACTACTACCATACCACGTGCCTAGTATAGATGGTTTAATCTTCTACCCAACTACCGAATTTGGAAAAAAAATTCTCAATATTAATATGGTCACTAAAAATCATACAAACCAGCCTTGACAACAGAAAGCATAAACATAAATCTTAAATAGTTAAACCAAAAAATAAAAAAAGAAAAAAAAAACTGCATGAGGCTCAAACAAATATATTTTCCCCTTTCTCAACAAAAAAATATATTGGAATAATAATTGGTACTGTTATCTTACAAAATTTACAATAATTCATATTTCGATGAGAAAACAATTATTTATCATCGTTCTCTTCATTTATGCATTTATTTCTAATAGCTGTGAACTACATAATAGTTAGTAAAATATAGCAGCGATAGATACTCGCTGACTAGACATATCTTATATACTTAACGTTAATAGTTTGACAAAAGGTCATGAGATAGTCACATATTGTTGTACTTAGAAAAAAGTGTAAACAATGATTACCCCATATTAAGAGTGTTAAAAAAAATTTAATGACTCGAAAAAATTGACCAACTCAATCTTTACGATTTACGTTGAGTTAAAACTTGTTTGGGTGGTAAAACGTTTACTTCAAATAAGTATTAGTTGAGCTAAACTAACCATAACTAATTATTAAATTTAAAATTATTTATCTTTTTACCCATCGGACAAGAGAATAACAAGTTACAAATTCTATCACAGTCATGTATTTTTATTACTGTAAAATTTATAAATAAAGTAGTTAATGATATTCTTACCATTATCATTTTTACAATGACGAATCGTGTGGGTGTTTCGAAAAAACGTGGTTCAATTTTCAGAGTCTCAAAAAGGTCTTGAAGGCATCCACCGAAATTCGGAAGCCAGGAGCTATTAGAAAATAGATTCCTATTCCCAAAGTATTTTTTGTTATATTTATTTTAATTTTATTGAATTCAATACTTTTTTATGAATTATTTATTCTACAAGAGTTTTGAGACCCATTTTTTAAAAAGTTGTTTGGGTGTACTATTTAATTCAGATAATATATAAAGACGTTTTAAAGATATTATCATTTATTTTTTATTTTTTGAGTACAATAAAAAGTTATTTGATTTGAATAAATTTATGAATTAAGTAAATTGGATCTAAAAGATATATCAATCTAACCCAACCCCTAACGTGACACCGAACCCCTGCCCAGTATTTTTCAAAACAAATCAAATTTATACGAAATTTGCGGTTTTTTTTATTGTTTTTAAAACAATTAATTACCGGGTAGATCGAGAAATAGAAAATATTTTTACGAGCCACCAATATTCGGGGGGCAAATTTCGTAAATTCCGCCACCATTTAGGAATTAGGATCCCTTTTCTTCCTTCAGTCCACAGTCCCATTGGTCTCTCAGTCGAACGCCTCACTCCATTCTCTCTTTCCTCTACAGCTCCTCAACGCAACAAAGTCTACTGCGATAACAGATTTCGCGACATCTTTACACACGCTTCTCTTTTTCCACTCTCCATCTCTGTCCCTTGATCGGACTCGATTCTCTTCTATATTCTTTCAATTCCCTCTCCGGCCATCCCTTCTTCTCCCGTTCTGCAATGCTCCAAACGCCATTGATTTTGTTCTGCAGGAGTTAATGTACGGACGCGCCCAGCCGCTGACCATGGCCGACCAGATCGCCTCCGGCCCCGACTGCGGCGACAGCGGCGACCACTTGGATAATCGCCTTGTTCGATACGGAGCCCACTCTCTCGATGACGGTGCTGGAGGAGTAGGCGGCATCATCGAAGATCTCAACCCTGATGCCGTTTATGCTTCCGCCGGTGATGGCTCAGACATGGCTGTTCAACGCAGCGATGGTTCGAGCCAGCTCACACTTTCATTCCGTGGCCAAGTATATCTTTTCGATGCAGTCTCTCCTGAGAAGGTATAGCGTTCATGCGATTTAGGGTTTTTGTTTTAAATTGTTTTTTATCGGCCGTTCTCTCCTGGATTTTGTGAAGTTTTGGAATGGAGCTGGGTTTAGAACTTGATAGTTGTGGAACTTGTGAGTTTTCATCATTGTATACATTGAACTCGATACTCCTTGATTTCATAATTTCCTCAACTTTTTCGGTGGCCACAAGCGGTGGGAGAATTGAGGACGAGGCTGGTTAATCGTAAAAAAACTACATTCTGCATCCTGTGTAGGTACAGGCAGTATTATTGTTGTTGGGTGGTTGCGAACTATCTTCTGGCCAGCAAGGTGTGGATTTTGTAAATCAGAACCAAAGGGTACTGCTGGAAACTTGTAATGTATCCCTTTTTTTAGGAGAAATCAACATTTTTCTTTCTAACTTTGTTTCCTTCCATATTTTATAGAACGCCGTGGACTTCCCCGGACGCGTTAGTCAACCGCAGAGGGCAGCCTCATTAAATCGGTTTCGGCAGAAAAGGAAGGAGCGATGTTTTGACAAAAAAGTTAGATATAGCGTCCGTCAGGAGGTTGCTCTCAGGTTTGGCGACTAACATGTTAAGTTACTTGCTGGATTTTTTTTTTCCTGTTTGCACATTCGTTGATTTCTGTTTTTTCCTTCTCTTTCACAGTTCACTTAGGTGTGCCCCTTCTGTTTGTTTTTATAGCAACTTCGTTCACAAAGAAATTTTCAATTCGTGCATGTTGTGCTGTTCATGTGCTTTAATAAAAAAAACTATATCACTCAGCATTTGCTTTTAAAAGAACTCTGGGTTTTTGATCTCTTATTTAAATTGACAAAACAATTGCAGGATGCAACGCAACAAAGGACAGTTTACTTCTTCCAAGAAGCCTGATGGTTCGTATAGCCTTGGCAGTGTCTCAGAGTCGGGTCAAGATGAAAATCCACCAGAAACTACGTGAGTTTCATGGTTCAGTAATTTCTGAAACAACTATTTCAACACATAGATGTTGTCTCTGGAACATTTCATTCCACCATCAGAATTCGTACTCTGTTATATGTTAAAATACATGTTTAGATTTTTTTCATCCTTGAAATTTTGTGTTTTTTCTCTAGATGCACAAATTGTGGCATAAGTTCAATGGCTACCCCAATGATGCGGCGAGGACCATCTGGGCCTAGATCGCTTTGCAATGCCTGTGGACTTTTTTGGGCAAACAGGGTAAGTATGCTTCTACGTAGTTGATTATTTTTACTATTAATTATATTTCAAGGAAAGCTTCATTTTCGTAGATGTCATGGTCGCTGCTGATGGATATGCCAGACCTTTTCATGGGTCATATTGGCTTTCATAATATCAGATGTGTCATCTTTACTATTTTGTGCTTCGTTGTGTGTGGATTTTGTTTTTGAGTGCTCGTTTGCTTAAATGTTTAAAGTGGGAACAGCTAAAAGTGATGATGCATGGTGACTAGGTTAATTTGGGCCTTTTTGGTATTAATTATTCTGTAGAAAAACTATTGACGTGGTTCTCAATTTCTATATTAAACAAATCACACCAGTTCTTGCATTTGTTATTCTAACTCAACCTTTTCATGGGGTCATGTTGGCTGGAAGGTATCAATGAAATAGTTTCTTTATCCAAAAGAAATGTTAGCTGGAAGGTTGGACAAAAAGAATTTGCCCCCTCATTAGCTACTCCTCAACTAGCTCTCAAAAAAGAGCTGGAATGAGAATCTTTCATAACATTGAACCGAAAAGTTGTTGGCGTCCTCTCTGTAAAGCTTTGATGTTGTACTGGCTAAAGAAGCAATGATAAGATTAATGGACAAACTAGAGGCATATTGAAAGACTGTGGCAACTTTCTCTTCTTCTGCAAGACTCGTTGTCTTGGAGATGGGATGAATTAATGTTCACTGTGTTCAACTAACACATAGAACTGTGGTCATCCTCAGTACGCTTGTCAATAAGTCTACTTAATGAGTCGACCACCATGGTAAAGAGAAAAGCGGAGAGGGTCTCTTTGCTAAAGGCCCCTGGGAGCCAGCACCCTGCCTATTGTTCTTCCATTCATAAAAATAGAGAAGCTTTGGAGGTATATAGTACGGCTATAAATTCAATCAAGATCTCCTTTTATACCAAAGTCTTCCCGTTTGCATAATTTCATCAGGATATTGTCAACCTACTTTAACATAGGCTTTTATAAGTATGTTTTTATGATAAAACGAGCTTTCTTTCTCTCCTCAAATCCTCCACCTCTTCATTGTTAATAATTATAGCATAAAAATTTACTCTATTTTTAATAAAGCCCAATTATGCCTCGTCAATTATGTGAGCTGTGAGGAAGCCCAGCCCTTTCTTTAATCTCTTCACCAACCCCTAGGAAATCAACTTTTAAAGAGAGGTGATTAGTAGGTATGCGTATGCTATATGCTATACTTGTTTGTCTTACTCACACAAATCATTTTTCGGGATTAATAAGTTTCATGGGTGCATCTTTCCACAATCCCTGTCTCAACAAAATCTTAGAACACCCAAGCACATTTGTCTTATAATGGTCCAGTATTTTTTCTTGTCCCCTGCCCCTAGTTTGTTCCTTTTTGTGACTAATAAAAGTTCGTCCCTCAAGAAAAATTCTACCTTTGCCTCCTGAGGTGAGGGAGTCAACTGCATTCACATTCCTATGGTACCAAGCTGTCTCGATGATCCATATGATATGACTTTCACACTTGTCTTCTTATACTATTATGGTTATATGTTATTACAGTTTGTTATTATCCCTATTCTCTACACTTCAAGATCTCTGGAGTTTGCTGTGAAATTGTGAATGCATGGCCTACATTTTCCTGTTTGATGGGTAATTTCGTGTAGTTTCACAGATCGTAATCTCTAAGAATTCATTATTCTCCTCAACATGCTGATGTTATTTTAATTTTCTCAATACTTCGCTCGTGCAATTTTGCAGGGCACGTTAAGGGATCTTTCAAAGAGAAATCCGGACCATCCAGTGACTCCGGCCGAGCAGGTATGTTCCTGTTACAGAGTTATTATTTGATTTTGTTTAAATCATTCTGGTTTTACATGTATTCCAAGTTTGAACTCAACTAATTTCATCATTTTAGTGTGAAAGTGATGCTGCCAAGGAGTTGGACTGCAGACGTGGCACCCATCCACACAGCAATCTGGCTTCTTTCTCTAATGGTGATAACTCTGCTTTAATGGCTGAGCATTAGATTTAAGTTAGTTTATTACAGAAAAAAGGCCGTCATGGGCTGTTTCTGGCTTCATTCAATCAGACCCTCGTTTTGGTAATTTTACAACGTGGGTTTTAGAATGTACAGATATAGCATATCAATGCCTTCTATTAAATACGAGGGATAAATAATCTCCCCATTATGTCACCTTGATACCTATGAAGTAGTACAACTTGTTGCCCTTCTTTTTTCTCTTTTGCCTTGCCATTACACCGATGTCTCCATATTTTTTCAATTATGTTTTGTTTTAAGCGGTACTTATTTCTTATTGATGATATTGCGTTTTTTTAATTGATTAGGACGAAGAGACATGTCTAATTGTTTTTTTTTTTTTTTGAAAGGAGTCTAATAATATGTTGTTAATTGCACTTATACTCGATGAATTTTATTTAGAAAATGCATGTTAAGGATCCAAAGATAAGGGATCTATTTGTTCGATCGGTGACAAAAATATTCAACCGATTTATAATATAAGTGGACTATTCCTCTCATGGTTAAATAGTTTTGTGACGAAATCTATGTATATTGATATGGTATCAGAGCTCAAAAAGTTCAAACAGACATCTGATTTAACCGTAGAATTCGGCGAAGGTTGGTGAACTTAAAGAGACATCATTTTAAGGGGATGTTAAGGTTCTTAAGATGAGACCTAACAAGATTTTAAAATATATAGATAAAAATAGATTCACATGGGTTGGTAAGAGTAACTTATTCTTGGGTTGTACAAGTGTTTGGATATTTTTTTGTTTTGAAAAAAAAAATTCATTACAAATAAATGGGAGGGATTAGAAGCCATTGCCCATAGATGAAGTTGTATGTAAATCCTCTGGGTTGATCTAGGCATAAAACATTGGAATTATTGAAAAAGTAAAAAGAGGATTAGAAGGAATGAGTTGAAATCATGATTGTGTAACTACTTAATTTGATGTTGTTACATTTAGATATTATTGGTTAAAATTTAAGTTTGGTCGGAAAAGAATCATGATTATTGCAATATTAATTTACAACTATTGACTTTTATTGTATGTTTTTCAATGCTAATTTATCTTGGGGTGTAGTTAGATGAAGGCGATTATTTGGTTGAACAGTAAATAACTCTAGTAAAACAATTTTGGAAAAACCATCCGTGGATCAAAAAATAGTTCTCTACTTTTTGTCCCATAATTGCATTCAATAATAGCTTTGGAATAATTGATAAAAAAATAATAACTACATGATTTTGAAAGTAATATAAGCTATGATTGTCCTAAGAACCAGTTCATTAATGTCACAATTGTGCATTACAACTTGCTAGATGTTGTGATGTATTTATGTTGGTTCAAATTGTAGTGGCACACCATTGATTGCATCTTTCTCGTGCCCATCTTATTTTTGGTGTTTGGGTTTGAAAGTTTTCTCACTTAGACTCACCTAGTCGTGTTATGTCTAGATTACAACTTATTTGGATTAGATCATACTAATCTCGGGATTAGATCATACTAATCTCATTTTAGATACGGTATTTGATACTTTTCACAATTTTACACTTTAACAAACTATAATTTAGGTGGGAGGACTTTTTGGTCTCACTTGATTTGGACTATTAAATACTTTGACTCAAGTATGCTTCATACTAGTATGATTCACATGATGATTAACCAAACATGCGTATAGTCAAAATATGCTAAAACTAATAAGTAGGGGATTATTTTTAATTAAAAAACTATAATTTACAATAAATATTTTAATTAAATATTGTTTTATCGATAAAATTAATGGAGTATTTTAGAAGTAGACATCATCACCATCAGATGTAAAACTAAGCAGATACCTTCGATTCTAATAACAGAAAACCGTGTTGTTTGTAAGAGATGTGAATCCGCTTGTCCGATAGATTTTTTGAGTGTTTGCGTTTATTTACATCATGAAACAGCTCGAAGCATGAATCTACCTTATTGATACGTTATAGAAAAAATGGGACTAAAACTGCAAACATATTAGTGAAAAATAGAGAATTTCCAAAGACAAAAAGGGAAAAAGAAATTAAAGATTTCAATATTATATCAAAATTTCTCTTCAACTGAAATGTCAAAATGTGAGTCAACGCCTTTGCAAAAGAGAAAAAAGAAGTCAACGGGAACCAAACATGGCAAAGTCGTTATTTATCAAAACATAGGGTCCACTGGTATATCCTAAATTATTTAAAAGACATTATCCCATGATTTCAGTGGTTGTTACCAGCCGTTGGATCTGATTATAAAAAGAATCATTCAGTCGCCGGCCAATAGGTCCATCGCCCTTGACACTCGCTGGCTCATGTGAGCCGTCAGTTCATGTGGGTCCCACTTACATCGGAAATTATTATTTAAACAAACGGCTGGAGATGAGGGTGCCTCGGAACGTCGTATCTTCGCGCCGCAGAGTATAATTCCCCAGTATTTATGTTATAACCTTGAAAAATCTCCGTCGCCGTCATAAATTTTCGTAATTGAATTATCATTTTTGAAAGGAAAAAAAAAGAGAGACTGAAATTTAAAAATTACCCGTTTGAGGCTCTCCAAGGAAACACAAGGGCACATCCTGCAAATCCTTTAACCATTTCTGGTAGCTTTTTTCCTCTATCTTCTTGGTTTCTGAAGCCTATTCGAGCTCGAATTTTCGATTGAGTCTGTAAAAAATTCGTGAAATAGACCATCTTTGACCCCATGAAGCTGGTTGACGGTTAGGGCTTCGTTTCTGGTGCAGTTAGGGCTTTTCGACAAATTGATGGCGGCTGCAAATCCTCAGCCTTTGCAAGCGCGTCCTTTCCAGGATCATGTCCAAGTTCCTACAATGATGGGGGATGACGACGTTGAATATGAAGATGGTGGTGGTGGGGGTGGTGACGTTATGGATGATGTCGAGGAGGCTCATATGGCCTCGGTGAGCGTCGCGAACCTTGGAGGGGTGGTCATGGCGTCTAGAACTAGTGAACTTACGCTTTCGTTCGAAGGCGAGGTTTACGTTTTCCCCGCAGTTACTCCCGAAAAGGTACTTTTTTTTGCGTGTTCTCTGGCATTTTTGGTGTAAGCACATGCTCCTATTCTCGAAGGTATGTTTAATTTGAACAAACTGGAGTTTCTGGGGCTTTCTTCAATCCGAACTGGTGTTTTTATGCTACCCTGAATGCCAAGAAGTTTTCGAAATAGGCTACAGTAGCCAAGAAGGAGTTTAAGACGTAATCTTCTGGATGATCGTGTTGAATTCTTATAGAGAGAGAGAGAGAGAGAGAGAGAGAGAGAGATCTGACTTTGGGTAGACATCCATTTATATTTTTGTTCAATCAGTCTGACTAATTAGAATATTCGTACTTTTTTTCAATGGATATATAGTACATTCATGTGCAGATCTTGGAATTAGTTTCTCTCTCTTTTCCTGGTTATATATTCTGTATCTCCTCTTTTTTATATCATTGAGTTGGGAGTATGAAGCTCTGTTTTCAGTTGCTTTATTCAGAGAGCTTTATGCTGCGGCATTTGGATATTTTTCAAAAATAGTTTCTGATTTCTAGGGGCAGATTGGGCTTAGTTAGGAAAGGTAATCATGCACACTAAAACGTCTCTGGGACCACCCACAGAGTTGTGGAATGCCTTTCTGGTCGCATGGTTAACTCATATTTCGCACGGGAATAGGATTGTTAATGACTATTGTCATTTAGTCAACCTTGTCTATTTCCTCACTGGAATTTGGGACGAATAGTTTTGTTCTCTAGGTCTATTCGAATATGTTTGATTTTCATATTTCTCTTGAAAAGCTTGTCAACCTTTTTCCGACTAAGCACTACAATAATTCTTGGATCGCAAACTTTCCTCTCTCTTTTTTTAAATAAATAAATTTACTGATTATATGGGGGGTGATTTCCACAATATCTTCTTGGGACTTGTCTCATTTACATATCTATCTCTCTTTGCCTGATAGTTTCAAAGCAGCTTATCTGTACATTTATTTATAAGAACTATTTGTTTTCTATCTTAAAGAAAGAATTAGTAAAGGTAAGGGAGTGTGTGCCTTTCTTTGAACCAGACATGGCACTCTTGGTACTATTCTACACCTGTGACACGCATAAGAGTTCTGAAATGTATTGTTATTACAAATTGAATTTTAAATTTCATGCATTTAGAGGTATCACGGACAGGGCTGACAGTCTGGATCTGTCTAAACAACCTGATGAAGTAAAAGCTAAAACAATAGTCAAAGTTAGCTAGAAGTAAGTTCTGTAGAGAAAAATAGCCAGAAGTAATGGCAATGAAATTAACTTTTGGAGGAACAGTTAGAGCATACAATGGAAAAAAAAGCCAGAAACTTCTTGTTGTTTAGTCAGACGATGATATGGAGTATATGGTAAATGGTGGTGACCTGGCACCTTGTCATTCACTAGACATTTTTCAAGTTAAAATATTATGATTATACGGGCATAATTAGTTTTGGTCCACTCCACTATAATTTGGAGTCTGTTGTCTCTGGAAGACTTAACTGGTTTAGTGGTTTTTGACGTGAAAGGTACAAGCTGTGCTCCTACTTCTGGGAGGGCGTGATGTGCCAACTGGTGTACCTACAATGGAAGTACCATACGATCATAATAACAGGGTAATGCGAATCATTGAAAATATACTCCCTATTATGTGGTTATTTTCATATATTAGATCTTGCCTACTATCTTCAGGGTATGGTTGACACCCCAAAGCGCTCCAATTTATCACGAAGAATAGCCTCCCTGGTTAGGTTTCGTGAAAAACGGAAAGAGAGATGTTTTGACAAGAAAATTAGGTACACTGTACGGAAAGAGGTTGCACAAAGGTAAGATGACTTAGGCTATGATTTTACGGAATCAATTTTAATGACTAATTTTTACTTTGCACGTTGGTGCTTGTGGTTGTTCCAATAATCTTCTTCCCACATCATGTGGTACAAGATGCTTATGGATATAGTGTACAAAATTCCAGGTCTCAGCTGTGGGACAACTTAGCTCAAATTATGAAGGCAACCAAAATTTCCCCTAAATAGTATAAGATATTACACTATCTACTATTTATCTATTCTGCTGAATGATCATAAGTTTTGAGTTCAATATTTGAGGCCCAGTTTGATGTGTGAAACTGGTTGCATTCATAAATTTTTTACCTTGGAATTTGTTCTGGTCTGTTAGAATAGTGTCTCTCATTGAACAAAATTTAATAATTAGAAATAATTTTTCTGATATTTACGTACTCTTATAAAAAAAACTAGACTTATGTTTGGCCTTTTTCATTTTGAGAAACTCATGGTTCTCTGATCTTATGGGGAAATAGAAGCAGATCTCACTTCTTTGGTGGACACAGTTTTAATAGCCATGCATATTTATTATATTTATATTTATTTATTTATTTTTACTTGTTCTAGGATGCACCGTAAGAATGGCCAGTTTGCATCATTGAAGGAAAGTTCAGGTGCTTCAAGTTGGGAATCAGCACATAGTTGCCTCCAAGATGGCACCCGTTCTGAAACTGTGTGAGTTAATGCTTGTAATCTGATGTGACCGGAGTATTTGAATTTTTTTTGTATATTGTTTCAATTTTATTTTATTATTGCTGATATATACTTCTATAAATGTTTCATGTTTCTAAAATATTTTTCAGTTTGCGGAAATGTCAACATTGTGGTGTCAGTGAAAACAATACACCTGCAATGCGTCGTGGGCCTGCCGGACCGAGAACTTTATGCAATGCATGCGGTTTGATGTGGGCAAACAAGGTTTGTATGCTAAGAATTATTGTTATAAATTTATAACTTAAGATGTCCACTTACATGTGGGTGTAGTTTTTTTAATTAAAAAAAATTATTGTTATGTTAAAATAGAATAAGACATTAAATAATGGAGAAAACCCTGTGCCATGTAAGTTACATGTCTTTTAATAGAGCGATAGAGATATTGTATTGCTATAATTACCAAAAGGCTTATAGCTTTTACCCCAAGAATCAATGACAAAAGTAGATTCTTCAGAAGAACTCAGAAGGCGAACTGCCAGGCATAAGGACAGGGGAAGAATAGATGGTTCTGTGTTTCACCATTAAACTTACAAAGGTGTCACCAATTTAGTGATAGAAATATCTTAAGTGTTAATGCTGCCCAACAAAAGCTCCGAGAAAACTTAAATCAACTTGTAGAGATGAGAAATGAGAATCAATGATAACATCGCCCTTTGTGAGATCTAGAAAAAGATTTACTGGTAAAAGAGCTATTGTCACTAGCTCATATCCATTCATCTTCCAAAGGGGTAAGATATTTCCAGCTAGCATAGAAGGGGACAGCTGCACTTGAAATGCATCGTTATTCAGTTTCCTTCTTGGGTTAAGGTGCCAGCTGGAATTCCGAATTCTGATTGTGAGGTTTTACTGTTAGAGACCGTTGACTGCTTTGCTGGAAACTGGATCAGTTCATCAACCTCTTGAATGAATATCATACATAAAAGCAATGGTTTTGTGCATAGAGCATCATTTTTAAAGTGGTACCTTCAAAGGCATCTAGCTAAGAGAGCTATGCTATGCTTATATGTCCAATATAGCTGAAACTGAGGCTTCCCAGAACGAGTAGGCTGCACTGTACAAGATGAGAAACCCCTCTTGAAAAGCAGCCTCCCATAAGAACTTTCTCATTGTTTACCAAATAGTGTTTCTGTCTGAAGAAGGCATTTTAGTAAGATTCATTTAGGAGGTGGCAAGTTATATCTGTGAATACTTTATGGATTTAAGTTCTTATTGTATTCTATTTCTTCATGTAGCTTTTGTTGGCATTTTTCTTATGCAACATATTTTTAGCACTATTCTTTTTTCTTACCAGCTCATTGGTTGTACAGGGCACGTTGAGAGATCTCAGCAAGGGAGGGAGAAATACGTCTCTGGATCATATGGAACCTGTACGTAATATAAAATAAAGCCCCTGTTTTTCATTTTAAAAATGTTTGTCTCATTGTTTAAGGCTTCCTGTACTCTGATAATGATCAAATTTGTCTCATTGTTTAAGGCTTACTGTACTCTGATCGTGATCAAATTTCTATGTTACTCGGGATGTGGCACACACCCATTTTTCAGTTTTTAAGTAGAAGTCTCAAACGGACGAGGGAAAAAAGAATGTGCAGCTAAGATGGTTAATCCCCTTTCTAAATAAGAGGTCCATGTATTAAGGTGTAAGATGGTACCCATTTGTGAGGGAGGACTAAATGGCCATCCTTAACACAACAGGATTAGGAGATAACCAAAAAAAAAAAAACTCTCAAATCAGCCACAATTAGGCAAAAAAACTCCGTCTATATGTGTTCAAGTCTTCACCTTCCTAAATGACTGACTTTGTATTGTTTTGATCCTTTTGGTCTTCTGTTGTAGACTGCTTTTCAAAAATATATTCCTATAGTTTCTGTTTATCTCCGGTATCTTTTCACATTAAATATTTCCTCGAAATCAAATTTGAAATATAAAAACTTTCTAATAGGCTGTTCTTGAACAGTGTGTAAACGTGTTTGCATGACTAGTTGTGTCTTCTTTTTGGATAAACAAAAAATTGTTGTAGGTTTTCATGGTTGATTCATTGAAAGCTTGTATACTGGTATCCCATCTTTAAGTATTGATATACTTGGTCTTTTCCAATGACTATAATGGATTTGCAGGAAACCCCAATGGATATCAAACCCACAATCATGGAGGGAGAATTTTCGGGTATCCAGGATGAACATGTACTACTCTTTTTTTTCATTACAAATACCTTCCATTTGGCTAGCTTGTGTTATCTGCAAGCCAATGCATACAATATGCATGCAGGGAACTCCTGAGGATCCTGGTAAAACTATGACTGAAGGCTCCAGCAATCCTTCCATTGACCCAGATGAGGAAGTATGCCCATATCTTAGTGGATTTTTTAGCCTCCCATTCTTTAACGACTTTTTTACCTGCATTTGAAAGTTTCTGCTGAATTGGCCAAATAATCACTATTATTATTTCCTATCCCACTGCTTTTTTTATTTACTTCGGAATAGATAATTTCCCCTTCAGTAAGATATCCTAAATTACCGAACCCCCATAATGAAAACCAGCACTTTCTCCCAGTTCCTTGTGATGACAAATTGGTTCATGTCAGATTGGTGCTTCGATTTGTTATTGACTTAAAAAGGTTTCAATATCTTGCATAAACATATTGGTTAGTTAATATCTGTTCACTGTACTCTTATCAGTGAAGGTGCTTGGCAAATGTATTTCTCTTCACCTTCAATTGCCAGAAAGGCTTATCCTAGGTTTTCAGTTAGTCTATCTTATTCACCCTATTGCATAATTTCATAAGCTTGTTGCTCTTGAATTCAATGCCCGATCAATAAGAGCGAGAATGCTTGATTGATGAGAATCTGTTTAACTTGTAGATGTTATATGTATCTTTCTGTCCATTTACTATTTTTCTAGTCTGGAAGTATCAATTATTCCCTTCTGAACTTTGTTTTTGTAGTGTTTTTTGAAACTCCGGGGTTGCTTGGAAAACAAAACAAATCCTTGAGCACTTTGCTTCATACTGGACAAGAAAAGTGTGCTATTCCAAAGTAACTTGATGTTTCTTATGGTGCAGGATCTAAATCAAACCACCGGAGACCTTACAAATTCGTTGCCCATAAGAATTGTCAATCATTCAGCAAATAGTGATGAGCAGGTATTGGTTATTTTTGTTTTTTTTTTAAAATACATATAGTAAATTATTTTTCATTTCTATGACTTTTTTTTGGCAAGGGCAAAGTTATTTTAGTTTTTCCTCATGCTGTGATTTGAAAAGTATAGATTTGAATGTGAACTAACTTGAAACACTTGCTCAAACTGAAGTCAAGCGCTTCAGAAATCTCATCCAGTTTGCTTTCACTTCTGTAATTGGAATTTATTTTCTTTCACATCCTGTTTAATTTTCCATCATTAAATAATGTCAAAACAATAGCTTGAAAGGAACCATAACTTTTCACTGTAGCCCTCAATCAAAAAGGCTTCAAAGCATTATAGAAACCAGTACCACTCCTCTATATAATTTCAAGTATAGGAGCATGTTTTAAAATACCCAAAAAAAACTCCAAAGTCCTTGAGAATCTTAAACCAAAGGAACTAAGCAAATTACGAAGAAGGGTGATTGATTGGATCATCGCATCTACCATAATATATAAAGATGGAGGAAAGAAAGAGGTATATCTTTCTCCGCAAGATTAACAGTTCTTGTTCTGCTCAAAGTCAATAATTTCAGAATGCATTAGTAAATCAGTAGAAACAGTTCGACTTGGTCAAAGATAAGAAATGTAAGGGGACGATCTGCTGGAATTGAGGACATATTAGATCTTTGTTTCTTTTCTTTTGGGGAAGTGGTTTGATACAATACAATGTGTTGATTACTCTACATGCACATGGGGTAGATAATGCAAAGTGTCTTCATGCAGGTTTCCAAGGGCCTTTATCACATTAATGCAAAGGCCTTTATCACATTAATTCACTAGAGATTATGAATAACCCACGAAATTATATCAGATATGAATATATCAAACCATGATGTGTGAGTTTGATTGGAAAGTGAGGTTCCTGTTGGATTAAGGAAGTGAAACAACCATCATGGGGGATTACGAATATTCAAAACCAAGAAGTTAAGACCAGATCATGTTACCAAACGTCCTCCCAGACTCTGGTTAAACCTTATTCACAAGATCTATTTGGAAAATGTAGAGAATTTAGTACCTCGAGGAACGAATTGTGGTGAATATATGGTGGGAACATTGTATGTGAAATTAGAATCTCAACTCAATCATCCTCTCAGAGTCCCATGTCATTAGCTTGCAATCAAAATCTTTAGTGTATCTGATAGGTTTGAACTCTTTAATTCATTCTAGAACTAAGGAAATGATGGAAACGAACCAGGAGAGGGTAATTTTTCTCCGTCATTCTGTTACTTCATTTAGTTAGAAGCTACTCAAAATCCAGGGCCCACTCTGATACGAATCTTTCGTACCATTGCCGCTCTGTTACCTTTCATTTCATAGAACAATTTCACTTGAGGCCTACATTGTCTTCTCCGTAGGGAAACCTCCATGACTCGTTGTTTATGAGAACCAAATTAATAAATTCCAAGGTGCTTAGATTTTAAAATCTGTCCCAAAAAACCAAACATCTGACTCTTTTTTCATTAAGTTTTGTCCATTGATCTCGTCTAAAAATTCTTGCAAGTGCTACATAAATTGAATTGAAGCTAGTTATTGGTACAAATTCAGACTAGACTATAGTTTATTGTTTGTTGTTCTCCAAGGAGTTTGCTTGTATGATCAGCCAATTAGAAACCACAACTTTTTTTATATTTAGTCCCTGATGGATATAGGGAATGATCTTGATCAGTTGATTGCATTAACAAGTAGCTTTATAGACAAATCTTTGTTTATATTCCCTACATTTTTCCAGTAAGTAAGTTCTACTAATTGGTATCGATGCACTGCAATATCTTTTGGGTTGATATTCAAATACTTATACTAGTTTTTATCATCATTCTTCAGGAACCTCTTGTTGAACTTGCTAATCCTTCGGATACGGATCTAGACATCCCCACTAACTTTGATTAGAAGGTAATCATTTGCTTAGGAAATGGGTCAAGGATATTTCAAATAATACTTTGGCTGGTAATAATTTCTTTTACCCCTCATAAATCCTAGATGTCAAAAGTTACTATCAACAATGGAGTGGCAGTTAGGAGTTAGGACTTGTATAATTACAAAAAATGTCCATGACATAAGGTTCAAGTGTGCAGTGGGTCATCTTTTGGCCGGGGAGGTTGCACGCTGCTTTCAGCTGACGTTAGATCGTCTTAACAATTGCTGCCAGAATCTGTTTTGTGTTCGTTCACTGTACGAGTCGAGTTGTTAGGGGATACGCTTTGAGTTCTTCCATCACAGTGTATGATTGTGAGTGATTCATTTGGTAGGGGCTACTCTTGATTCAATTTTATTGGAAGTCTGCTTCCATCATTTACCGTCATAATGATGAAGGGATCAAATGCTTGTGGTGTTTGTATCTTAAGATAGACCTTTGTTTTGCTTCTAAATTATAATATTATATACGATGACTTGTGAAGCAAATTGCTAATAGAATAAACTTGCTTCCTTACCAGCCTATGTAGTTTAGAATATGATGGGATGCGAATCGCAAAATTAGGAAGTTTTTACTTTTCTTGTTTTGTTATTGAAGTTGGAACATTGATGTTATACCTGAAATAAGAGATTTAAAATATAAGTTTATGTTGTATTACGATGCAATTACTTTTAAATGTAGATTTAAATACTTTTTTTTGTGGGTTATATGAATTATGATATGCTAAAAATAAAAGAAAAGGAATATTAAGTCATATTTTGTTAGATACTTCCAGCCCGAACAAAAATCAAATATTTCCAAAAGTTAGGAAATTTAAATATTTTGTTAAAAACTGCTTTTAGTTTCTATAATTTCATTGGAAATAACAATTTAGTTCGTAAACTTTAGTTTGTAACGGTTTAGTTCATGTGTTTTTAAATTGGTAACAGTGTAATGCTTGAACTTATGTATTTTAAAGTTTGTAACGATTTGATATCTATTGTAAAAATTTTTCTTTAAATTTTTTATATATGTAGATCGATAAATTGATGAGAGATCAAATAAATTTATAAATTACAAAAACTAAATCGTTATTGGATAAAAAATGATACTTAATTTTAATTAGATTTTTTATGGTATTGATTAGATTGTTATAAATTTTAAATTATAAGAATTAAATTGTTGATTAAAATATTATCAAATAGGTACTAAATTGTTGCTTCATTACACACAAAAAGTACAATGAATGTTTTTTAACTTAATTTTTTTTAAGTTGATAAGAATTAAAAAA